AAAACTTCTTGGCTTTACCAGTATTCTGATGTTTGGTCATTGAAATACTGATTTTTGATAAGCTATAAATGCTTACAACTTTTCAGCAACCCTTGTATACAAAATAATTTTTCTTTGATTCTCATTATTTTCTACATTTCAATGCTTTTATTAGTCTGTAATAACACTCAGTGCCATTATATATGCTTTTATTTTATTTCTAGCTTTATCCTTAAAAATGTTCATTTTATACTTAAAAAAACACTAGCTTTTATATCTAAAGAAGATATCCTTTTATTTGTAAATGTACATATTCAATTATTCATGTAATAGTAATATTAGCTGTTTCCTTATGAGGAAACATTTGATATTCGTTGACCAAGCAGCCTGTGTTACTTTCAGTTGAAACTTATAAAATCTTTCTCTTGAAACAATTTTTCAGGAAAATAAGTTTCTCAAATCCAGTAACTGTTATCTGTCTTTCCAGTATTGATGGGGCTTTTTTTCTAACATTTTCAAGCAGTGTCAATATTGAGATTGTCATTATTTTCTCCTCAATTTACATATGCTATCAATTTTAGTCATTGCTGTTGTAAAAAATCTTCATGTAATGTGGTTTTTGTTATTTCGTTTTTTGTGATTTTGTATTGACAGTTCACAATATTCAAAGAAGAATGGTCCTCTTGAAGCTATTTTTTGACATCTGAATGAGTTTGGTGCCATGAATGGCATACATATGAAAGTTTTGATCTGATAAGGCTATTTAAGACCATGACTGGAGTTTTTGGGTTAATCTTTTGGTTTTGTTGGGCAAAACTACCTCTAGCACAACCTATTCTATTTTCAATGTCCAAATCTGCTATACTAAATTTGTTATAACTGATCCATACTCTGAATATTTGAAATGTTTAGTATTTATTAATTACACATCCTGGATCTTTGATGGATTTAGGGTACATGACATTACTGTTTCCATTCCAATTCCAAATCATAGTTTGTGTTTGGGAAAAGGTTTATCTTTAGTCCCAATGGTAAAATTTATCTGATAATTTTGAATTGCTAAGAATTAGTTGATTTGTTTTTTTTTAAACATCTGCTTATACTGACTTAAATTGTTTAAATTCAGACTTTTTGAATTGGATCATTTCAGGATTAAGACCTTGATATCAACTAATGAAAATGTGCTTTATTTTGATTTTTATATTTTACTTGGTAATATAATCAATCTTGACCAGGCATCTTGACTTCTGTCACTTTCTTACAGATGTGACATAGCTTACCTTTGTCTTTTTTACAGATATTTTCATGCCAACTTCTCTGATGAGCTTTTTTTCCTGGTGCCCTGACCATATCAATTTAAGTGTGCTACTAGATTGGCAACTAGGTTTCACCATTTTACTGTTGAACTAGCTAAATGCAACTGCCACTTCTGCTCTAACAGTTTCTTCTACCTGTGGAACTTCCACCTGATTTCTTACTTTCCTGATAACTACAATCTTCAAAAATTAAAATGCAACATCAATCACCATCTTCTGTCTTGAACCCTGTTCTTTATTTGTCCTTTCCTCAATCTTGCCTATTATCAGTCTTCTTATTCTCTTTCACTTTCACTCCCCATGTGATCTAGTGACATTGTTGCTTTGCTTGGGGTGAAATGATTAAATAAAAATATTTAACAAAATGTGGATTAATTAGAAATTAGGATCACTGCATATTTGTTCACTTTTGTATTTTAGTGTAGTTTTAAAAATATAATCATGGTATTTTTTAATTAATCTCAGAAGCAGTATTTTTGCTGCTTAAGTGTTAGTATTATTAAATGTATATTATATCTTAGCAGTAATGTAGTTGCTATATGTTCATACTTGCTTGGAACAGAAGGTAGGTGTTTCTGTTAGTCTTCTGCTGAAATGTAGGGCTTATATGAATGAATAAATGAGTTAAAAAAAATGAATGAATGGCAGAAAATTCTAAGCTTGATGCCATTCTCTACAGCAGTCACAGATGACCTCAAACTTGCTTTCAAGTTGCTCAATATGAAACTGAACTGAATGTTGTAAGTATAAATACTTTTTAGTGTTTTACTTATGCTTTTTTTTGGAAGGGGTTCATCAGTTGCTTGTTCATATACATATTTCACTTATGGTTTATCTTTTGTGAAATATCAAGATTATTTGTGTTATACAAGTTAAAACAATTTTTCTGTCTTAACTTCTAGGATGATGAATTATTTACATGTAGTCTATCATCCTTATCTTTGGTGGTGTTGTCACAAAGTTTCAGCAATTGTACCCTCCAGGCTTCATTAGGTGTCTGTCAATCTGGGTAACTTACAGGGAATTTTGAACTGAACCCTTTATTTAACCTATGGGGGTAGATTGTTTCATTTCCTAGACATGGGCAGTAGAATGAGAACAATCTATCCCCATAAATAATGGGTTCACTTTGAAATCCCCTGTAGGTTACCTGGATTAACATACACCTGATAAAGGCCGGAGGTCACAATGGCTGAAATGTGATAACAACAACAAAGATGAGGACAATTGTCCACATGTAAATAAATCAATTTTTGTTATCATTGTTAGTTTATTAAATTTATTTTTTTATAATATTTGATAATATGACTTGTAACACAACTAGAACAAAGACAACTACAATTGCTAAAGTTTCATTTTGTCTGAACAATCTTATAAATAATAATAATAATTATAGCTTTAGACTGGCATTCTCAAATAATAATAATAACCATCATCACTATCAATAATACTAATACAACCACAATGAGTACTTTTTCTTTTCACCTTTCTTGACTTTAGTTTTGAAATTAATGTTTTACAATAAGTTTGCTGTTTTATTTTAGGTTTTGGAATCGTAGATTACTAAGTTATCATAGAGGGGAAATACTTTCTGATGAATTTGAATTTTATGTGTTTATAAAATAATTCAGGGATCTTGTTTATTTTATAGTTGAAGTTTGCTATTTTTGCTTTACTATCAAACCCAAATATATTTAACTACCTTTATGATAAAATATGCTTGATTAGGATTGGCTATAATTATATAGATTAATTGCTTTACTTCTCACAAAAGGTGATTTTCTTTATACATTAAAAATAAATTCATACTGATATATTATGTTTTAGTGGCTGGATTTACTGCTAAAAGAAAGAAGAAATTATAAAGTTACAACAGAAAACCCGAGAATTATATTATGAAAACTTTTTTAATCTTTTATTTTAAAAAATAAAAATAAAAGGAATAAAAAAAATTTGGTTGAGTTTAGAATGACAGGAGGAGCAATTTTTTTTTTTTTTTTTTTTTTTAATTTGTTAACATCATTAAGTAAAGATAGTCTGAGAAAATTCATCTTTCCTACACTATGACTCATTTCACTTAAGGATTGGCTTTCTTTCACTTTTCTCCAATAAAAATATGTACTCTTATTTAGAACTGAAATCTCCAAGAGCCAAGGTTTAGCTTTCTACTTAAGAACTGTTATATCTTAGGGGATCTATGTAGAGTGTCAGAGTAAGAGAAGAGCACTTCATCATTTTATTTTCTACTTATGTATTAGATGGTCATGGATAATATCTTTTCACTTGTAGGTTATATCAATTATGTAAGAAGTAAACCTAATCATTTAATGTTTTAAGTTCTTTGTAAACACACACACACACTTTTATTGTAAAGAAATATATATAAAATCTCCAATCAAATTTTAATGGTACATTTTGTGTATACATTTTTAACTTGTGTATACATATCATATATGTAAACTTAACAATTTAAGCAATTAATGAATTTTTTAATAGGTCATTAGTTAATGTATGGACTTTTTGAATAGGCATTTCTTTTTTAAACACTGGAATTAATATCTACCAGCCTCAATCATTGAATGTTTCATTACTGGTACATTTTCTTTAATAAAACTTGATGATTTAGGCTAGTAGACATTAATTTTGCTGTTTTTTTTTTTTTTTTTCAAAGAATAAAAGAAAAGGAATGTGTACCCATTAAAATAACATTTATATGTAGATGTGTGTGCAATCATTGTTTCAAGTAGTAACAATAATTAATTCTGATTATTTTATTCAATATACATAGTTTTTTTTAGTAAAACTCATCATTATGCACCCTTCCTTTGAATTTGTAGTTTAGAATTTTTGAGTTGAGACTTACAAACCTCTTTGGGATTATTAGCTGTTTTTGTTGCTTTATGATTTCTTTGATATCCATACTTATTGATAATTAATATTAAGCTAGAACAATCTAAACCCAGTGGATGAAATAAAGGATACAGTTTGAAATTCCAATGAATATCACCTGAAGAAAGCTGGAGTGTACAACAGCCAAAATATTGTGAATATGACAATAAAATAAGGAAAACTGTCCAAACAATGTAAATAATATTAGTTATTAAGAGTTTTTTTTTTATTTTTATTTTATTTTTTTAATGAACACAATTTTTTACACTAGATTTACTCTCTTCTATCATATATCTTTGTGACTCTTGTGAATATTTGTGGGATATATGCTCACTAATATAGCTCTCTCAGCAAGAGTATAAAGAAAGAAGAAATCCTATTAGAACCAAGTATGAAACCATCCATTTTATTATTTTTTTTCTCTATTTCATGATTTAAATATCATTTGCATAAGGGAAAAAAACTTCTGTTCTTTTTCTACTGCTTGTTGTATTTGTCTCCTCTTTTTATTCAGTTTTATTAAAATTTGTGATGTGAACCAATTTACACTGCCTGATTAATAATAACGGATCAACTATTACATTCTGAAGAATGTTCTGTATAAATTTGCTTTGGTGATTACTAAATTTTTAAAACTTTCATTCTATATGAATGAGAAAATGTTGTGTATAGGTTAATATATATTACTACTCTTTGTTGTGATTTATAACTGTTGATCTTGATTTGAAGTTGTGACTATAAATTATTTTTATGAGTTTATGCATGTTATAAGCACAGATCATTAACTGATTAAGATGTCTTATTTTTTTGTTTCAGGTGTCTGTACAAGAGAACCTCCATTTTATATTATCACAGAATTCATGACTCATGGTAACTTACTGGACTATTTGCGTAGTAGCAATAAGGAAGATATTGGACCCACTGTACTTATGTACATGGCAACACAAATCTCATCAGGAATGGCCTATCTGGAAGCAAAAAACTATATCCACAGGTAATTTAACAAATATTTATTTATTTTTTCTGTTTAGTCTTCTATATGTAAACAACTAGTTTACTAATTGCAGAATGTTCTTTTAAACACATTTGAGTAATGATTACAATAGTGTGCATATTAACAATCCTTTTTGATGCAGATGAGCAATATCTGGTTATGGAACTTTTTCTTTTTTTTATTATGACTTAATTTTTTTTTTATTCAAGTAGTAATTTTCTTGGTTATATCTTTGATTTTCTTTTTTTTTATATACTAAAAATAAAAACTGTTGTTGGCAAATGAAGAAAAGGAAAAAAATTGTCATCTGATTGTAGATTTTGAACTCACTATTGAATATTTTGGTGGAAATATTTCTTTGGCTTTTCATTGAACAAATATTAATATGAAAGAGTTATATTTTTATGGTTGCTAATAAGGAGAGAAATATGCATACTTATACTCTTTCTCTACTCTATTCAAATCTGAAATTCTTAACTTTTTATTTTTTCCTCAGGAGTAAATGCAAGTTTATTAATGTTTTTAAGACCATTTCAGAGAGAGAGAGAAAGAAACCAATGCTATGTGATTTTTTTTCCTCAGATACAAGTGATAAAAACTGGAAGATGGAGTGAACTTAAGTGTATGAACTGTCTATATGTGTATGTATGTGTAGTCTTCATAAGTGTCCTCCAATTAAAGTTGAAGGTCAAATCACTGTTAAAAAATGCTTTTTATATCTCTTGTTAACTTAAATTGAATCAAGCTGGGTCAATGCTAAATTTTTTTGAAGGTTGTGCATCTAAACAAGTCAATTCAAGTTTTTAAATATATAAAAAATTAACAGTGTGTATTTTTACCTGCCCAGTTTGGAAGGTTAATTATTTACTAAAGCTTAATCTGGCAGCACAAGGCCACAATAATGGAGTGTCCATTGTGGATTGAACTCTACTCTTGTAAATGGGTCTGCAAGACAAACTTGTTAATTGTTGTGTGATAGTAGTCATCCTTGGAAGGTAGATTATAAATTGTTTGAAAGACCATCAAAAATCTTATCCATTGACTAGTCAGCCTCAAAGCCTGAGTATTCATCTAAGTTTAGGCCTAGCAGTGAGGAAATTTGTTTTTCATTAACATTTAATTTAGAAGCAAGGTAGAGAAAGGTTGGTTTAATTTAACTTTTTTGGATCATTTATCTCGGTGATTAATATGCCGGGCTGATTGTTTATCCCATGTCAGTGTAAATTCATATATTTTTGATATGAGATAACAATCATTCATAATTCCATACTGAAAGAACTGATTTCAGCCATGAACTTACTTATAGTACTAAATTAACCATTTGGCCGGAAAAGTGACTTTTCTTTTCAGCTTGATTTATTTTCTTGCATCATTTTTAATTCTATTATGAATTCAATGTAATATAAAACTTGAAACACTGACACAAAAGTGTTTTATTTCCATATACAGACATTAAGACATATTTAAGTTAAGCCATCAAAATATTTAAATTTGATTTGTTTCTTGCAGTAAAGTGTGGTATTTGATTGAACCAATAATTTACAGATAATGTTTTTATAATCAGAGAAGCTTTTTTATAATAGCAAATATTCTGTCAAATTGAGTAACCTGAAATATTTCTTTGTTTTAATTGTATTTTTATTTTATCTTTTCCATTTATATCAGCTACTAAATTAAAGTTACTTCATTTATTATTATTATTATTATTATTATTATTATTATATAAGTAAAAACAATCAGATTTTTATAATTTTCATTGTTTTTGTTTTTGAAAAATATCATTGAAAATAATGACACATTTGAATTGTAGTAGATAAATTTATCAAAGTTAAGTTTTTTAGACATATGGTTGAAATGCCTATAAGTAGTTGTTAGTATGAGAGTGGAAATAGATTGTAGCACATGGCCGAAAAAGGCAAATGTACAGAAATCAAAGGAAAAATGACAGAAGTACAGAACTGAGTTCAAATATAGTATGTCACCATGGCCTGGCCAAAATTGCCTCTTTAGCTGTGCCATTTGGCATGTCAGGCTGAACAGCTAACCTTAAAAAGTAGCATGTCAGCCTAGCCTCTACTGATCTGTACACTTAGGTGTGGCATGTCACTGTAGCCAATGCAGACCTGCACTTTTTCTATAGAGCATACAAGTTAAGCCACTTTTACCACTCTGACCTGTAGCATGTCACTGTAGCCACTACTGAACTATATGCTTAGGTGTGGCATGTCAGCTTGGTTTTTGCTTCTCTGCATGCTTTGATATTACATGTCAGCTTAGCTTTTGCTGAAGTGTATGCTTAGATATGGTGAGATGTGTAGACATTCAGAAGGCAGGTTAAGTATAATGTTCTATAAATTAGTTCTGGAATAGCAGTAAGGTAGGGTATAGAATAAACAAACTGGTCTTGTTAATAATAGAAATTTCATGTGGAAGAGTGAGATATATATATATATATATATATATATATATATATATATCAAATGCTCTAGTAACATTTAATGTTACTATCCCAGGACATTTTTGCATTAGACACATAGTATAATACATATCTTTATTTTTTATGTTAATTTGTATTAAAGTATTTCAAATATATGTAATTATTCTATATAAATTAACAGTCACTGAATGATGATATATTTGAAATGAATAACTATATTATTGTTGCCGCAAATATTTTTTAAGCAATATGCCTCTGTTTTATACATGTGTGACTGCTACCACCACTTCTACTATACAGTATGACACTTGCAGGTATAATTTGTAGCCGAACCATAAATTGAACTAGGTGAATTTTGAAGTTTCATTCATTCCTTATATTAAAACTAATCTTAATGTTTATTAAATGTGTGATTTACAGTTGATATATTTTGATAGTAATATGCAACATTTGTACATTCTGCTCTTCACAGGTTACTAAGCTTATGTGATTGGCTTGTCACATTTAGATTGTTTTTCATTTAATATCGCATAAAGAGTCTCTATTTTATTTTTTTTTCAATTAAAGTATTCTGATATGTTTTGTCTTGTTGCTGGGCAGGTTATATTATTATATGTATAATTTTTGTTATTTATAATCCACGATTGTGTTTACTAGCCAGACTTCCTGTGCACCTTTTTCATTCATTTGATTTAGGCTTGTACATATGTTCCTTTTGTGTAGACATGTCCTATCTTTCCAATTTTATCAGTGCATCAACAGCTTTATCTCCATTAACAGTAGTAGTAGTAGTAGCAGCAGTTTTCTCTTTTCTTAATAGGCTATTAGGGCATCTCCAATGACTCACAAAATGGGTTAACTATCATGATAATTGTATTTTGAGGGCTTTTTGAATCTGTTCTTTTTCTCTCTCTCACACACACACAAATTTAATTTGTAATTCTATATATAGAAGTGAATGTTCTTCCTACACATGTTTGTATGTTTAGTGGAGGCAAAGATAGATGTGGAAATCAATTTTGATAATTCATAGAACATTGCTGTATCAACTGGGTAATCTTCTACTAATTTACCATAGCACTTTCTCAAGCAATCAAATTTGACTTTGTTTATTCATCTTGCTTTTCATTTGTATGATTTTGCAATGTTTAGATGTAATCACGTGTGTGATCTTTAAATTATTTGTCAGTTCTCGTATTTTTCCATGCATTAATGTGTATCTGTTAATGAAACATCTGACACATTGTTATCGTTACATCATGCCATTAAATGGGATAGAGAGAAAGGACAGATTCTTTTGAAATGATTCCTTATATCAATAAAAAATGATTGATTATTCATTTCTAATTCTCTTTTCTTTTTTTTTTGTATTCATGGAATTTAATCTTCAAGTTAAGATTTTTATAAAATAATTTCTAGAATAAAATAAGAATTCTTTTTTTTCCTTTTAAATCATAGTTATTACTCTGCATGCATTGTTCCTTGTAATTTTTTATGTTCTATATTATCCTGTTATTACTTGTATGGATATTGACATTTTTTATTGCTACCATTGTCTCTGTTATTCAATTTATATAATTGCTTTTGATTTGTTGCAAAATCACTCCTCTAGTGTTCTTGGCACTGGTTAAGGTTTGTGAATATGTCGGCCTCTGATCATATAATCATCAGTAGAGATCCTGCATCTATGATGTGTACAAGTCATGAATAGAAGAGGATTATAATCATTTTGTGTAATAACACAATAACTGCCACTGCTATTACTTTATCACTATTACTGTTGTTAGTACTTCTATTGCTACTATAACTTCCAGTATTATTAATACAACTACTGCGACTATTATCATAAATCCTATTGTTACTGCTGATGCTACTACTACTACCTTTACAACTACTATGACCAGTACAATGATTATTTTCTTTTTGCACTCATGCCACTGCTGCTTTTACCATCTCTACTGTTTCTATGTCTCAGACTGTATATTTATCAGAAATTTTATCCAACTTTGAACCTGAAATTGATTATTGGGTTAGGTTATTGAAGCTGTCCCAACTACTGCTGCTACAACAATATGTTTGTCTGATGAGTAGCGTCAGTTTTATCTGAGGGAGCTGCTGCTAGTGTCTTACCATTCATCACCAAATCTGCTTGCCTTCCACCACCACCACCAATATTACTATTACTGCTCATTCAGTCATCCCATGCTGCTAAGTTCAAACTGTGCACATCCGTCTTTTCTTTGCCCACTCCAATCCTGACCTTAAGCATTTAATTTGAAATTCAATGTAAAAATTAGAGTAATGCATGGGCATCTGAGATAAAAATGAATTGGATCACAAAAGATTCATGTGTTTGGTTTGTTTAGGTTATTAAAATTTATCTGCTCACATTGATTTCTCTGCGTATTAGAATATTACCTGTGTAGGCTGCTTGTCTCTGTGTGTGTGTGTGTGTGTGTGTGTGTGTACACACACATCACTACTTTGTGGAACTAACTCCTAAGAGGATGCTTCCCCAATCACTACAATCTTAACCTGTTCATGTTTAGGGTTAATCATTATC